CCCCGTTGGCACCTGAAGGATTTACAAAAACTCTTCAGCCCCAGGCCGTAGCAACTCAAGGATTTACAATGTACAACAATTCCTTCAGCCCCACGCGGTGGGCTTGCAAATGCCTCAGTCCCACCACGGTGTGCCCTGAAGGATTTTAAAAAAACTCCTTCAGCCCCACCCTAGTGGCACCTGAAGGATTTCGAAAAATCCTTCAGCCCCGTCCGGTGGCACCTGAGGGCTTTACAACAGATCCTTCAGCCCCACCCGGTGGCATGCTTCAGCCACACCCCCGTTGGCACCTGAAGGATTTACAAAAACTCTTCAGCCCCAGGCCGTAGCAACTCAAGGATTTACAATGTACAACAATTCCTTCAGCCCCACCCAACGGGCTTGGAAATGCTTCAGCCCCACTCCCGTTGGCACCTCATGGCGTGGTAGGGTTTACTACAGAGGATCTGGGCTGGGAAATGTTTTCCTGCCAAGTCCATCATTCGACGGTGGGAAAAACCCTACAATGTATAGACAAATTTAAAGTTTACAAGATATACGAGCAATTATGGGTGGACATTGGCGTTGCAAACTTATGATGTCCTTCAAAGTTTACAAAGTTTACAATAAAAAAATACACAAATCTGTGGGTGGATGCTGGCGTTACCAAAGTAAAGTGTGCTCAAAGCTTAAAAAGTTCACAACACAAAAGTACACAAACTTGTGGGTGGACGTTGGCGTTACAAACCTATGGTGTCCTTAGAGGCTTTGAGGTTTACTAAGTCTACAACACAAAGATACACAATTTGTGGGTGGACAAACTTGTGGATGGACAGTTGGCATTACAAACTTACAGTGTCACTTACAGTTTGTATCGCCAACCACTACAAATTGACGTGTTTTTGTATTGTAAACTGTGGTTTTAATGCCAACGTCCACCCACAAATTTGTGTATCTTTGTATTGTCGACTTTGTAAACTTCAAGGACACCCAAAGTTTGTAACGCCAACGTCCTCCCACAAATTTTGTGTATCTTTGTATTGTACACTTTGTAAACTTTAAGGACACAACAAGTTTGTAACGCCAACGTCCAGACATAATTGTGTATCTTTGTACTGTAACGCTTCTAAATGTTACGAAAACTTTGTAACGCTAAAGGCCACCCGCAAATTTGTGTATCGTTGTATTGTACGCTTCAAAGCCGTTAAGGACACTGTAGGTTTGTAGCGCCCACTTCCACCCACAAGTTTGGATAAGTGTATGTTTGTTCTGTAAGCTTTGTAAACTTTGAGGAAACTAGAAGCTTGTAACGCCAACTTCCGCCCACAAATTTGTGTATCTTTGTAGTGTACACTTTATAAACTTTAAGCACACTTTCAGTTTGTATTGCCAACGTCCACCCACCAGTTTGTGCCAACTTTGTTAGCTTTAAGGACACTATAATTTATAACGCCAGTAAACTTTGTTTGTGATGCCAACGTCCACCCACAATTTTGTGTATCTTTGTACTGTCGACTTTGAAAACTTCAAGGACACTAAAAGAGTTGTGTATCTTTGTTTTGTACACCTTGTAAACTTTAAGGACACTATAAGTTTGAAACGCCAACGTCCACCCACAAATTTGTGTGTCTTTGTATTGTAAACCTTGTAAACTTTGAGAAAGTTTGTAACGCTAAAGTCCACCCGCAAATTTGTGTATCGTTGTGTATCGTGGTATTGCACAATTTTGTCGGGGGTGGACGTTGGCGTTACAAACTTGTAGTGACCTTGAAGCTTACAACGTTTACAAAACAAAGATACATAAATTTGTGGGTGGACGTTGGCGTTACAAACTTGTAGTGACCTTAAAGCTTACAACGTTTACAACACAAAGATACACAAATTTGTGGGTGGATGTTGGCATTACAAACTTGTAGTGACCTTAAAGCTTACAACATTTACAATACAAAGATACACAAATTGGGGGTGGACATTGGCGTTACAAACTTGTAGTGACCTTACAGCTGACAACTTTTACAATACAAAGATACATAAATTTGTGGGTGGACGTTGGCGTTACAATCTTGTAGTGACCTTAAAGCTTGCAACGCTTACAATACAAAAAATACACAAATTTGTAGGTGGACGTTGGCGTTACAAACTTTTAGCGTCCTTAAAGTTTACAAGGTTTACAATACAAAAATACACAAGTTTGTGGGTGATTGGCGTTACAAACTTGTAGTGTCCTTAAAGCTTAGAATGTTTACCATACAAAGATGCACAAATTTGTGGGTGGACGTTGGCGTTACAAACTTGTAGTGACCTTAAAGCTTGCAACGCTTACAATGCACAGATACACAAATTTGTGGGTGGACGTTCGCGTTACAAACTTGTTGTGTCCTTAAAGCTCACAACTCTTACAATACAAAGATACACAAATGTGTGGGTGGACGTTGGTGTTACAAAGTCGTAGTGACCTTCAAGCTTACAACGTTCACAATACAAAGATACACAAATTTGTGGGTGGACGTTGGCGTTACAAACTTGTAGTGACCTTAAAGCTTACAACGTTTACGATACAAAGATACACAAATTTGTGGGTGGACGTTGGCGTTACAAACTTGTAGTGACCTTAAAGCTTACAGCGTTTACAATAACAAAAATACGCAAATTTGTGGGTGGACGTTGGCGTTACAAGCTTTCCGTGTCCTTAAAGTTTACAAGGCTTACATTACAAAGATACGCAAATTTGTGGGTGGACGTTGGCGTTACAAACTTTTAGTGTCCTCGAAGCTTACAAGGTTTATAATACGAAGATACACAAATTTGTGGGTGGACGTTGGCGTTACAATCCTGTAGTGACCTTAAAGCTTACAATAACGTTTACAATACAAAGATACACAAATTTGTGGGTGGACGTTCGCATTACAAACTTTTAGTGTCCTGAAAGCTTACAACGGTTGAAATCCAAAGATACATGTTACAAACTTACAAACTTGTAGCGACCTGAAAGCTTACAACGTTTACAAAACAAAGATACACACATTTGTGGGTGGACGTTGGCGTTACAAACTTTTAGTGTCCTTAAAAGTTACAAGGTTTACAGTACAAAGATACACAAATTTGAAGGTGGACGCTGGCGTTTAAAGCTTACAGGGTTTACAATAAAAAGATAGACAAATTTCTGGGTGGACGTTCGCGTTACAAACTTTTAGTGTCCGTAAAGCTTACAACGTTTACAATACAAAGATACACAAATTTGTGGGTGGACGTTGGCGTTACAAACTTGTAGTGTCCTTGAAGCTTACAGCGTTTACGATACAAAGATACACAAAAAAGTGGGTGGACGTTGGCATTACAAACATGTAGTGGCCCTAAAGCTTACAACGTTTACAATACAAAGATACACAAACTTGTGGGTAGAAGTTGGCATTACGAACTTGTAGTGTCCTTAAAGCTTACAACGTGTACAATACAAAGATACACAAATTGGCGGGTGGGCGTTGGCGTTACAAACTGTTAGTGTCCTCAAAGCTTACAAGGTTTATAATACAAAGATACACAAATTTGTGGGTGGACGTTGGCGTTACAAACTTCTAGCGTCCTGAAAGCTTACAAGATTTACAATACAAAGATACACAAATTTGTGGGTAACCGTTGGCGTTAAAAACTTGTAGTGTCCTTCAAGCTTACAAGGTTTACAATACACAGATGCACGCTTTTGTGGGTGGAAGTTGGCGATTCAAACTTGTAGTGTCCTTAAAGGTTACAACGTTTACAACACAAAGATACATACATTTGTGGGAGGACGTTGGCGTTACAAACTTTTAGCGTCCTTCAAGTTTGCAAGGTTTACAATACAAAGATACACACACTTGTAGGTGGACGTTGGCGTTACAAACTTTGAGTGTCCTTGAAGTTTACAAGATTTACAATACAAAGATACACACATTTGTGGGTGGAAGTTGGCGTTTCAACCTTGTAGTGTCCTTAAAACTTACAACGTTTACAATACAAAGATACACACATTTGCGGGTGAACGTTGGCGTTACAAACCTGTAGTGTCCTTGAAGTTTACAAGGTTTACATGTAGGTGGACGTTGGCGTTACAAACTTGTAGTTTCTTTAAAGCTTATAACGTTTACATTACAAAGATACACACATTTGCGGGTGGACGTTGGCGTTACAAACCTGTAGTGTCCTTAAAGTTTACAAGGTTTACAATGCAAAGATACACACATCTGTAGGTGGACGTTGGCGTTACAAGCTTGTAGTTTCTTTAAAGCTTACAACTTACAACGTTTACAATACAAAGATACACACATTTGTGGGTGGACGTTGGCGTTACAAACTTGTAGCGTCCGTAAAGCTTACAACGTTTACAACACAAAAATACACAAGTTTCTGGGTGGATGTTGGCGTTACAAACTTTTCTTGTCCTTAAAGTTTACAAGGTTTACAATGCAAAGATACACACATTTGTGGGTGGACGTTGGCGCTACAAACTTGTAGTGTCCTTGGCCGAAACCCAAACGATGCTCGAAGCCCTGGCCTGGGCCTCTCCGTGCTGCGGCCGCGCCTGCTTGGACCACTGGCCAGACCAGTGGGACCTGACAGGCCAGGAGCTTGAGGGATCTCCGGGGTCTCGGGTTAGAGAGAGTTCGGGCCTGAGGGATTCAGGGTTGAGTTTTTGCAGGTTTTTGTGAGGGGGGCCCAGGGGTTTGGGCGTAGGGTTTATTGGGTTGGTGCATGTGTTGGACGTGCTCGAACTCTGAACCCAAAGATTACCGTGCAAACCCTACAAGGGTTCTTAAGATTGTTGGGGCGGCTTGGGGCTTTGGGGCTTTTCGGCTCTCACAACTTGGCGCAGTCGGCGAAACTGTCTGGCTTATAACCTGTCCTCCAAGATGCAAGTTCTCACTGCACTTCGAACTTGAAATGAGGTTCGGGGGCCCGAAGTAAATGAGAGTTGAAGGCCCCGTTGTCTGCGACTCCGTGGCCTCTGGTTCTCCTGGCTGAGCTCCAGGAAATTCCACGCCTCGACCTGTGTCGCAGTGCTTGTAAATCCCCAATTGCTATGAACCCCAGTAATAAAGTGCAATCCTCATGGAGGAACCTAGCTGGTCACTCTTGTTGTCATAAGCTTGATTACGCCGCGAGGATGGGCTCATCAGTCTACGCGATTCTGCACGGACCTTCAGTGCCTCAGAGGCAAGAGTCCTTCCCGCGACAGCATGAAACGGACGCTCTACGATTCTTTTTTGGTGCTGTGTTCCTGCTTCGGGTGCTCGGTTGATTTCCTGTGAACCCTCCGAGAACCATAGGATCCTTGCGCTACAATGTGTGTGGCACCCCACAGCTATCCAAATCAAATTTCCCAGGGCACATGCTTTCCGAATGTCTGAAGCCCTGAACCCTTTAAGAAACTAAGCAGAAACCCCCAAAGAAGCCGGCCAAATCCCAAATCCAACAACTCGAAACACTTGGAAGCCGCCTCAGGTGGGTGGATGCGGTGGACTTTGGACGTCGGCCGCTTTCCTGACAAGATCGGGAACGCTTTGGGGCTTCAAGGGGCCCTAGGCCGCTTAGGGGTGAGCTTCGGGGGATCTTCGAAGCGATGTTCTTGGCGGCGATACTATTTTGGAGCTCAAAGAACAGCGCCCGCACCTTGCGGCATATGCCTGATACCGAGCCCAAGGTTGAGTGACATGAAACGGGGAGCAACGGATACTTTGGGAGACTTGCGACGAAGAGCCGCACCAGGCAGTTCGAGTTTTCTTGCCGTGACAGTTGGTGGCTTCCACAAGATGTGCAGACGCCGAATGCGATCTCTTAACATCTTATGTCGTGAATCCTCACGGCTCCAGCAACTGCACCTCGCTCGTGCTAAATCTTTTCGGACATCTCCGGCAGAGAAGTTGGCTGTCGCAGCATTAGGCGAGCTGAACACCAAGCACGAGAACATAGCATGCAGCCCAGAAACAGGCTCAAAGGATTCTATCTGAGTCTGGAGTTCCTGGCTTTCCAACTTGGGATGGCGACGAATCACCGAAAAACGAAACAAATGCCAGGGCCAGCAGCCACTCTGCAACTGAAGTAAGCACGTGGCCCTGGCGAGAACAGTCGTAGAACACGAGACGTCAAAGGGCGCTATCTGCATCCTTCGTGCGTCTCAAGGTCCCCGTTTTCAAAATTTGGGATGGCGACCGAAAAACGAAACAGACGCCAGGACCAGCGGTCACCCTGTAACTGAAGCAAGCACAGGCCCTGGCGAGAACAGGCACAGGAAGACGAGACTTCGCAGGACGCTATCTGCATCCTTCGTGAGTCTGGAGGTCACCGTTTTCAAATTTGGGATGGCGACCGAAAACTGAAAAGATGCCCGGGCCAGTAGTCACACTCTGGAACTGAAGTAAACGCATGGCCCTGGCAAGAACGGTACTGTGCAAAGACTTGCGACGAGTCGTAGGTCGAAGCTACGCCCGTCGGCTGCCATGATACCGCACCCGCTGCTTGCTTGGGCTGGGCTGAGCCGGAGGTGTCGGAGCTTGAACACACATTCTATCGAGGCGCGCCCGTGCGCACACATCAGCTGAAGGCAAATACAGCTACAAGCAACAGATCTTACAGGTCTTTGCGAGCATCTTGGCTGAAAGAGCTGCTGCACTTTCCGAGACAATCTAAAGCGTCTACGGTTGCTGGAACATAGCCCAACGCCGAAGCTGCGATCTATTCAATGTCCGGTGGGCAATCGACGAGCGTGTCACACAGGCACGCTTGACGGCACCACGGTGCATGGGAAGAGCTTCCGGAGCATCGCGGCCCGCCTCTCCTTAGGCAGTCGGCCGCAGTGTACATCAACTGCTCACCTAGAGAAGCTAGCCTACTCCACCCCTTATTCTGACCAAGCATCTGCAGCAAGTTCCGCCAGACCTCCTTCACACAAGTCATGCGGAGCTGGCGGTTCCGCTGCCTCTGCCGCCGTCTCGTCCGTCTGTGGCAGCGTTCTCGAGGAGCTTGGCTGGCTCGCTTCTGGCTCCTCTGCAACCACGGACAGCACCGTGTCACTGCCCTCGTCGGCACTCAGGAACAAGATGATCTCGGGGGCTCCCTCGAACTGTACCCTGCGTTCTTGCAAGTCCGACATGTGTGACAGGATGCTACTGCATGGGCTCGTCGCACGCTCTGGAAATTCCACCAGAACGGCTGGACTGGACTTGGATCTGGTTCTGCACTGCTGTGGCGAGGCCGGGGAGGCGGCAATCACCATGCGCCGACGTGGCGCCTTGCAAGACGGAGGTGGCGTCGAAGGCTTCTGTGGCACCAAGGAAGCCATGGAATGTCGGGAAAGGTGCGAGATCCCTCGGCTATTCCGAGGATCTCGCGAGTAGAAGGAGCACTTGCACTGTCCACGAAAGCGGTGGGCCGAAACGTCGGATGCCACAAATATCTTGGGCTATATTCGACACCTGAACCGCAGCAGCCACTGTTCAGGAAACCGTCCGCTTCTTCGTGCAAGAAACCTCCAATCACACCGGAGCCCCCACAAACCCAAGTCCAACTCTTGGATGAACCCTGAAATACCGCTTACAGTAACCCTCCTTTGAGCTCGCAGAAGATCTGAATCTCAAGCCCCTTCCGGCAGGATCCAACGGGCGCCTCGCGCCTTTTGAACGGCAGGTCGCTTCTTGACCTCCTGCTTTGAGGGTCTCGACTCTCACTCTCGCATGCAACAGGCAAGAATCCTCATAATGCCGTCACGCATACAGACGCAAGGAGCCACCAGCCAGGATCAGAACATGTCACTTTGAGGGTTTGGGGGCTGACATACTTGTCGACATGCATGCATACATACATACACACATACTTCACTTTCACAACGCCCAGACATACATACTTACATACATACATACACACATACATACATACATACATACATACATACTGGCATACATACATTACTTGCGTACATTCATACATACATACATACATGCACACACACACACACTGACTGATGGATTCCGGCAATGGATGAGGTCAGGAAAAGCAACGCAGGATGGCAGGGTTGCAGTTGTGAAAAGTCATGCGGAAAACACCGGAAACTGGATAACTATGGTTGCTCTAATCTTGCCAGCTCAGGGGCCTGGCTTTTGCTAATCTGGTCAGCTCAGGGGCCTGGTACCCACAGTTGATCAGACTGTGCTTCCACCCTCCAGCATAGCTTTGTTAGGCAGCGTCTGCTTGAAGGCCGCTGACCCCCTGCTGTTTTTGAAGGTCTCTGTATGCCAAACATGGAAAATTGAATTAAAATGCACACATGCAACATGTTGGAGTGACCCTCTGTTCCCATGTGTCAGGGAAGTTCACACACACACACACGCACACACACACACACACTCACGCACAAACGTACACACAAACAATACATAAATAGAAAAAAATATACATATATGGTCAGGCGTCTGGCGTTCCCAACCCCCTCATTCACTGGTATGGTCTGGTAGGGTTGGGCGGGGTGGTGTGTGCGGAGAGGGGTCGGGGCAGTTGGGTGGGGTGCTGCTGCGGGGCGGCCAGGGGTCACAGGATCTTACGCAAGCCCTACGCAAGCCATAAAACCCTGCAACGTAGGGCGTGTTCCTGTCTTTACTAGCCTTAACCTGTACTTAATATTCAAACCCTAGACCCAACCCTAAACCCCGCCTAAATCCAGGCTCTAAGCTTGAAGCAGAACACAGCAAACTCAAAAGCTTAAGCTAAACCCGAAACCCCACAAGCACACCACGGGGGGAAGAGGGACCCCACACCCCACCCACAGGAAGGGGGGGATGGAATCTGGGGGGGGGCGGGGGCGGCCGCGGAGCGCCTGACCATCCATGTACATATATATATATATACACACACACACAAGATATACATAAGAACAATATTACTCATAATGATTATAACAACAACATTTATGATAATAAATCAAGAAATATATATATATATATATATACATCCCAGCTTGCATCGATGACTACAGCTCATGCTCCCACTTTTTCAACATCGCACTCGCTGCCGAACACTGCTGAGTACCCTGAGGGTAGGGAACCTGAGACATCAGGATAGTGCTTTGGTAGCAACCTCGAGGAAAGGACACATTCCGAAAAGGTCCACTCCTTTCGGATGTATCCAACTCGGATGCAACACCCATGCGTATGAGGGTCACTCCCTCAACCCCTCAAGGTAGTCGCGAAGCTCGCGCAACCCCGAAAGAACTGGGCGACTCCACGGGAGACCGAGTTCAAACAGGGTGGGTGGGCGGGCAAAAGACAGATGGACTGCCGTTTTGGATCA